TGTGCATAAATCTGTACTGCCATTTTCATCAGGTTTCTATAATTTCTAACATGTCACTGAACTTCCCTTACTCCAAGAAAATATAAATGCTTATTTATTTTACTTTAGTAATTTTATTGTTTGTTCTCTGTTGACAAAGTTTTAATCCACCTGGAATTTATTTTCATATGAGGATATAGGGTAGATCTAGCTATTTATTTTTAAAATTCCAAATGAGGCTGGGTACAGTGGCTCATGACTGTAGTCCCAGCACTTTGGGAGACTGAGGTGGGAGGATTGCTTGAGCCCAGTAGTTTGAGATAAGCCTGGGCAACATGGCAAGACCCCATCTCTACAAAAAAAAAATACAAAAATTAGCCAAGCATGGTGGCATGCACCTATAGTCCCAGCAACTTGAAAGGCTGAGGTGGGAGGATCACTTGAGCCTGGGAAGTCAAGTCTGCAGTGAGCCAAGAGCATGCCACTGCACTCCAGCCTGGGCAACAGAGTGAGACCCTGTTTCAAAAATTAATACATAAAGTAAAAAATAAAATTCCAAAATAGCTAGCAAAATACCTAACACAATTTCTAGTATAGTCTATCATTTTCTAACTGCTTTGAAATCCTTTTTTGTTATGCACAAGTTATGAGTATTACTTGTGTTCATTTCTGTACTTTCTCCTCTTTTCTGGTAATCCGTATTGCTATTTCTGCACCAGTACCATACCTGCATTATACTGTAGGTTTATTTGTTTATTGCCTGTCTCACCCCAGTATAGTGTAAGTTATCTCATGAGTTATCTTACAAGTAAGCTCTATATCTCCCACTATTACTGTATTATTTTTACTTTGAACTGCCAATGTGGTAAATTTTATTGATAAATTGCCTTGCATCCCTGAGATGAATCCTATTTTATAATTTTTTTTACTACTAAATTCTATTTACTAACATTTTATTGAAAGTTTTTATATAAAATGAGATTAATCTGTAGGTTTGCTTTTATTTCCCATCTCCCACTCTCAGGACATTTTTGCTAAATTTTGGTATAGGTATTATGCTGATTTCACTAAAAAGAACTGTGAAGATGAAATGGTATAACGCTAAGAGTTTGCTTCTTAATTACTTGGATGAGAGAAGGGTGGTGGTGGTCATGAAATATGCCTCTCAGATCTTCCACTGCCAGGAGCACAATGGACTACCTCCAGCTGCTGTGCTCTGAAATCAATTCATCACCAGTTTACACAGAGGTCATGTTTCTCATGGACTATTCCCAGTCAATGACTTTGTGCAGTAGAGATCTTAGGCAGGCCTCTTCTTAGGGAGTGGGGTACTTTTCTCACATGTCACCTTGGCTTAAGGATTTCCCATTGGCTTTGCTGAAACTTTTTGAAAACTCCACTGAGGTCTAAGACATTTCCTACCCAACTTTCCTTCCTCCCTTCTCTTCTCTACAGGAGTGAAACCTGCATTTCATTCTGACAGCTCTGTTAGCTCCCTCTAGTTCCCTTCCTTTTTTTCCGCAATAAATCTCTTGTCCATCTTATCCTATCTTCACATTTGTCTCTCAGAGTTCTGAAACTAACATACAGAGATCAACGGAGATATTGAGTTTTAAAAATTGGCCATCTGGCCGGGCATGGTGTCTCACGCCCGTAATCCCAGCACTTTGGGAGGCCGAGGTAGGCAGATCACAAGGTCAGGAAATCGAGACCATCCTGGCTAACACGGTGAAACCCCGTCTCTACTAAAAATACAAAAAAAAATTGGCCAGGCGTGATGACGGGCGCCTATAGTCCCAGCTACTCGGGAGACTGAGGCAGGAGGCAGAGGTTACAGTGAGCCAAGAGGTGCCACTGCACTCCAGACTGGGCAACAGGGCGAGACTCCATCTCTCACACACACACACAAAATTGGCCATCTGTTGATGGTAATTGTCAAAGGTAGATGATGGGCATATTTAATCATCCACTGTACGGTCTGAAAAACAGGAAGTCAAATGAACAAACATTTTTCAAAAGAAAACATAACACGCAGCCGGGCCGGGTGCGGTGGCTTACGCCTGTAATCCCAGCACTTTGGGAGGCCGAGGCGGGCAGATCAAAAGGTCAGGAGATTGAGACCAGCCTGGTTAATACGTTGAAACCCTGTCTCTACTAAAAATACAAAAAATTAGCCGGGCGTGGTGGCGGGTGCCTGTAATCCCAGCTACTCGGGAGGCTGAGACAGGAGAATGGCATGAACCCGGGAGGCGGAGCTTGCAGTGAGCCGAGATGGCGCCACTGCAGTCCAGCCTGGGCGACAGAGCGAGACTCCGTCTCAAAATAAATAAACAAATAAATAACATACAGCCAATAAACATATGAAAAAATGCTCAACATCACTAATCATTAGAGAAATGCAAATCTAAACCACAATAAGATACCATCTCACACCAGTCAAAACGGCTATTACTGAAAAGTCAAAAAATAATAGATATTGGCAAGGTTGCAAAGAAAAGGGAAAGCTTATACATTGCTGGTGGCAGTTCATCCACTGTGAATAGCAGTTTGATGGTATCTCAAAGAACTTAAAACAGATTACCATTCAACCCAGCAATCCCATTATTGGGTATATACCCAAAGGAATATAGATTGTCCTATCGAAAAGACACATGCATACATATGGTCATCTCAGTACCATTCACAATAGCGAAGACATGGAATAAACCTAAATGCCCATCAACAGTAGACTGGATAAAGAAAATGTGGTATATATACACCATGGAATACTATGCAGCCATAAAAAGACAAGGTCATGTCCTTTGCAGCAACATGGATAGAGCCAGAGGCCATTTTCCTAAGTACACTAATACAGGAACAGAAAACCAAATACCACATGTTCTCATTTATAAGTGGGAGCTAAACATTGAGTATGCACGGACACAAAAAAAGGAACAACAGACACTAGGGCCTACTTGAGGGTGGACAGTGAGGATTGAAAAACTACCTACTGGGTATTATGTTTATTACCTGGGTGATGAAATAAACTGCACACCAAACCCCCACAACACACAATTTACCTATTTAACAAACCTGCACATGTACCCCCTGAAACCAAAATAAAAGTTAAAAAATTTTGCTGGTTGGGCATGGTGGCTCACACCTGTAATCTCAACACTTTGGGAGGCCGAGGTGGGAGAATCACCTGAGGTCAGGAGTTCGAGACCAGCCTGGCCAACATGGTGAAACCTGTTCTCTACTAAAAATACAAAAATTAGCTGAGTGTGGTGGTACACTCTTGTAATCCCAGCTACCTGGGAGGCCGAGGCAGGAGAATTGCTTGAACCCGGGAGGTGGAGGTTACAGTGAGCTGAGATTGCGCCACTACACTCTGGTCTGGGTGACAGAGTGAGACTCCATCTCAAAAAAAAAGGAATAAAATGCCTAATAAAAATAAATAAATAAAATTTATCAAAAAATACATAAATAGGAAGTCCATTGTCATCTCTATTGTATTAACATATCTATAGTAAAAAGTTCACATTAAAAGAAAAGAAGAAAGAGAAAAATGAAGGCAGGAAGAAAGGAAAGAAAGAAGGAAGGAAAAGATAGAGTGACAAACATACATAAAATAATCACTCAGGCTTAACATACCCTGCTTTGTTCATCATATGAGAACATGCATTTAAAAACAAATACAACTCTGAAGCCTACCTTCGTGCGTGTGTGTATGTGTGTATGTGACTTTGAACAATATCTACTAGCATTTGTCTCTCATTTCTCCCTTTCCCAAGTGCCTGAAAACTATTAGTCTACTTTCTACCCCTATGATCTTCCTAACTAAACATTTCATACAAATGGAATCATACAATGTATGTATTTTATGTCTTCTTCTTTCTTTTAGCATAATGTTTCCAAGATTCATTCATGTCATAGTAGATATCAGCACTTCATTTTTTGTAGTGACTATATCCATCGTATGGATATACAGCGCTTTATTTATCCATTAATCAGTACATTGACATTTGGGTTGTTTCTCCTTTTTGACTATTCCGAATAATGCTGCTATGAACATTTGTATCCAAGTTTTTGTATGGATATATGTTTTCAATTCTCTTGGTTAAATACCTAGAAATGGAATTGCTGAGTACCATAGTAACTCTAGGTTTAACATTTTGAGAGACTGCCAACCTGTTTTCCAGTGTTTGCCAATTTATAACCCAACTATCAATGTATTAAGATTCCAATTTATCCACCTCCTAACCAACACTTGATAATGTCTGTTTTTGTTTGTTTGCAGTGTTATGAAGTAGTACCTTATGGTTTTGATTTTCAAATCCCTACTGACTAATGATATTGGATATTGAGCATTTTTCATGTGCTGTTAGCTATTTTTATGTCTTCTTTTAAAAAGATGCCTAGTTAAGCTCTCTGGTCTCGGCTGCAGAAGCGACATGACGAAGGGAACGTCATCGTTTGGAAAGCGTCGCAATAAGACGCACACATTGTGCCGCCGCTGTGGCTCTAAGGCCTACCACCTTCAGAAGTCGACCTGTGGCAAATGTGGCTACCCTGCCAAGCGCAAGAGAAGGTATAACTGGAGTGCCAAGGCTAAAAGACGAAATACCACCGGAACTGATCGAATGAGGCACCTAAAAATTGTATACCGCAGATTCAGGCATGGATTCCGTGAAGGAACAACACTTAAACCCAAGAGGGCAGCTGTTGCAGCATCTAGTTCATCTTAAGAATGTCAACGATTAGTCAGGCAATAAATGTTCTGGTTTTAAAAAATACAAAAAAAAAAAAAAAAGATGCCTAGTTAAATCTTTTATTCTTTTTTCTTTGCTCATTTTTTAAATTGAGAAATTTTCTTTTATCGTTAAGTAATAAGAGTCCTTTATATATTCTAGATACATTCCATTGTTAGCTATATGAATTGCAAATATTTTCTCTCATTATGCAGTTATTTTACATTTTCTCGATGGTGTTCTTTGAAACACAAAAGTATTTAAATTCTAATGAATTCTAGTTTATCTATTTTTGTTTTACATCACTTGTGCTTCTGTTGTCATGTCTAAGAAAGCAATCTTAATACCAAAAAAAATTTTTTTTTGTGAGGCAGAGTTCCACTCTTATTGCCCAGGCTAGAGTGCAATGGCACCATCTTGGCTCACTGCAACCTGCATCTCCTGGGTTCAAGCAATTCTGCCTCAGCCTCCCGAGTAGCTGGGATTACAGGCACCTGCCACCATGCTCAACTAATTTTATGTATTTTTAGTAGAGATGAGGTTTCACCATGTTGGCCAGGCTGGTCTCAAACTCCTGACATCAGGAGACCTGCCCACCTTGGCCTCCCAAAGTGCTGGGATTACAGGCGTGAGCCACTGCACCTGGTGTCAATGCTTAATACAAATTTATGAAGATATTTTCTTTTAGGAGAATCCTTAAAAGAAAGTTTTGGCCGGGTGTGGTGGCTCACACCTGTAACCCCAGTACTTTGGGAGGCTGAGGTGCGCAGATCACAAGGTCAGGAGTCTGAGACAAGCCTGGCCAACATGATGAAAACTCATCTCTACTAAAAATACAAAAATTAGCCTGGCATGGTGGCAGGCACCTGTAATCCCAGCTGTTTGGGAGGCTGAGGCGGGAGAATCACTTGAACCCGGGAAGCAGAGGTTGCAGTGAGCCAAGACTGCGCCACTGCACTCCAGCCTGGGCGACAGAGTGAGATTCTGTCTCAAAAAAAAAAAAGAAAGAAAGAAAAAGAAAAAAGAAAGTTTTATTCCTTTTCATTTAGGTCTAAAATCTATTTTGAGTTAATGTTTTTTTGTATGTGGTGTGAGGTAGGAGTCCAACTTCATCCATTTGAACATGAATATTCAGTTGCACAGCACCATTTGTAGAAAAGAATTCTTTCCATACTGAATTGTCTTGGCATTTTTTTTTTTTTGAAAACCAAGTAAATGTAAATGTAAGAGTTTATTTCTGGACTCTCAGTTTTAGTCTATTAATGTATAGGCTATGTTGATGCTAGTACCACATTGTCTGTGACATGACTGTACCTTTGCAGTAAGTGTTGAAATCAGGAAGTGTGAGTCCACCAGATTTGTTCTTTCCAATATCATTTTCAATATTCTGGATCTCTTGAATTTTCATATGAAATTTGTGATCACCTTGACAATTTCTGTGAAAGAGGTAGCTAGGATTTTGTTAGGCATTGGATTGAATATGTAGATCAATTTGGGAGGCGTTGCCATCCTAACAACATTAAGTCTCCCAATCCATGAACATAGGACATCTTTCTATTTATTTAGATCTTCTTTAAGTTCTTTTAAAAATGTATTACAGTTCATTTTTTTTTTTTTTTTTTTGAGATGGAGTCTTGGTCTGTCATCTAGGCTAGAGTGCAATGATGGGAGGCTCACTGCAACCTCCGCCTCTGGGGTTCAAGCGATTTTCCTGCTTCAGCCTCCCAAGTAGCTGTGATTACAGGCACGTGACACCACACCTGGCTAATTTTTGTATTTTTGGTAGAGATGGGGTTTCACTATTTTGGCTAGGCTGGTCTCGAACTCCTGACCTCAGGTGATCTGCCTAACTCGGCCTCTCAAAGCGCTGGGATTATAGGCGTGAGCCACTGGGCCCGGCCATGTATTACAGTTTTTAGTGTAAAAGTCTCGCACTTCTTTTGTTAAATTTATTACTAAGTGCTTATTCTTTTTGATGCCATTGTAAATGAAGTTGCTTTATTAATTTCTTTTTTTAGTTTTTATTGCTAATGTATGGAAATATGACTGATTTTTATATACTGATACAGAATTCTGCAAACTTTCTAAATTTATTTGTTACGTCTAATAATTTCTAGTGGATACTTTAAACTCTTTTTAAGGAAAGACCATGTCATCTGTTAGAAGAGTTATTTTTATTTCTTCCTTTCCAATCTGGATGCCTTTTGCTGCTTGTTCTTACTAAATTGCTATGGCTACAGCTACCAGTTCAATATTTCTGGATCAATGTGTGAGTCTATAAGTTGGCCAGTTTGGTTGTGCTTGTCTGGGCATAGCTGGGTTCAACTGTATATGACCATCTATAGCTCTACACTGAGGCAGTAGACTCTAGAATGGAAGTTGGGTTTAAATCTTCTCTACAGTCTTTTTGAACCTGTAGCTACCAATATTTGTTGTATCACTGGAGTACAAGAGGCTAAGTCCAAGCCATGAAAACACCTCTGTAGTTCCTGCTTATGTCAATGGGACAGGAAATACACTCTGCTCGGAAAGACAGGGTATTGCAAAGCTAAGCGAAAGAGGGGTAAATGTGTATTTTTATTAGAGAGAAATGAGTAACCAGGACAAACTACCTGAATTGAAAAAAGTCTGGGAGTAAAGATGGTGTGAGGGACAAGTTAGAGAAAGTATTTTCGCATTAGATTCATAGTGCTTTCTTTGTTTACATGTTATGGATGGGTAGTTTGATCAGATCTGCTATTTAACAAAATTAGTTCATTCACTCATTTAACATTTACCTCTATGCTACCACTCTGTCAGGCAGCAGAATTCACACAGTTCTCACTTTACAGGTCCTTTGCTCCTTCAGGTAGATTCCTACATCACTCTCTGTGTGCTTCCCTATATTCTGCCCATATACCTGTAGCACTTTTTATTAAATTTGCCTCAAATTGTCCTAATTTAGGTCTGTTACTTGTTTCTTGCTAGAACCATGACTAATATATATTTATTGATAAGAGTTTCAAATAATGCCACTGCAATTATTAAAATAAGACTACTCAGTATAACATTTCACCATTTTTTGTACTTCTTTTTATCCTTACAAAATATCCCTCCAGGAAAACATAGCCAAAATATGTTTTAAAGTGTGTTGCTTTTTTATTGCTACCATAATATATTACCACAAACTTAGCAGTGTAAAACAACACAAATGTGTCATCTCACAGTTCTATAGGTCAGAAGTCCAGGTTGGCTTGGCTGGTTTCTCTGCTTCAGGTTTTGCAAGGCTAAATCAAGAGTTGGTCAGCCTGGGCACTTGTCTGGATGCTCTGGGGGAAAATTCACTTCCAATCTCACTCGGGTTGTTGACACAAATCAGTTTCTTATGGCTGCAGGACTGAGGTCCCCATTTCTCTGCTGACTGTCAGCTTGGGACCACTGTAAGCTCCTAGAGGCTACCCTCTAGTTTTGGGGAATGGGTCTCTCCATCTCAGTGTCAGCTACAGCACATTGAGTCCTTTTTATGCTTGGAATCTCTCTGATTTCCACTTCTGCAACGTCTCCTCTGCTTTCAGTCAAAGTTCTCTGCTTTAAAGTGTTTATGTGATTAGATCAGACCCACCTAAATATTTCGGGCAAATTTTCCTGTATAAAGTCTATACCTTTAATTGCATCTGCAAAGTATTTTTTGCCATTTTAATGTAACCTCTTCAGAAGGTCCAGGGGTTAAAGTGAGAATGTCTTTGAAGACCATTATTCTGCCTACCACATAAAGACATTTAAAAAATGATTTTCTCGGTCAGCTGCGGTGGCTCATGCCTGTAATCCCAACACTTTGGGAGGCTGAGGCAGGCGGATCACGAGGTCAGGAGATCGAGACCATCCTGGCCGACACGGTGAAAGCCCGTCTCTACTAAAAAAAAAAAAATACAAAAAAAAAAAAATAGCTGGGCGTGGTGGCAGGCGCCTGTAGTCCCAGCTACTTGGGAGGCTGAGGTAGGAGAATGGCGTGAACCTGGGCCGCCGGGGGGGCGGGGGGTAGGGCAGAACTTGCAGTGAGCCGAGATTGTGCCATTGCACTTCAGCCTGGGCGACAGAGCAAGATTCCGTCTCAAAAAAAAATTATTTTCTCTGTGATTATGTCACCAACTTAATACATAGTTAAGATTACTTGTTTAGGTAATTTTTTTAAACTTTTTCTTTCAGAATAATTTTAGACTTACCAAAGAGTTGCAAAGATGGAACATATAATAATTCCCATATTCCTTTGTTCGGGTTAGTTTTGACTTTTAGAAATTTGTTGTTTTTTAAATTATGTAAAATATTTTATTTTGTTTTGTTTCAGTTCTGTAGAATAGTCACATGATTCCAAAATCAAAATAGTAAAACCAGATACATTCCGAGATTTGGCTTCATACCATCTTACCTTACTCTTCTTTCTTTTCCCTTTAAAAAATCACTCTTTTACTCCCACTTATCTGCAGATACCCCCAAATGCTGTTATATCCCTTAGCCTTTCCTACCCGAAATAGTGATTCTTCAGAGGTTGTTTCCTCTTTCCTCCGGTGTTTTTAATCAGGAAAGGGAAAAATACTATGATGGAGCTTAATGATATATTCTGCCCAAGTAGAGCAGAGACTAGCAAAGGCTTCAGGTGGAACATTCAGGTGTCTACTCAATCACAGACCACATTCCCACCACTCCATGGAATCACTGGATATCATTCAATACAGCCTATCAGAGTTACTTCAACTGACCATATTGCCTGTATTCCAAACACCATCAATAGTACAACCATCATCAGTTTGAAAACATTTTAAGGGGAATAAAAAGAGTATGTCCACATTAAATGAGCACATAGATTGTGTGGGATGCATTCCAGTTTCGAAAGTGTAAAAAGCATAAGATAGAAATACATCTTGGCCAGGCGCAGTGGCTCACGCCTGTAATCCCAGCACTTTGGGAGGCCAAGGTGGGAGGATCACAAGGTCAGGAGTTCGAGACCAGCCTGACCAACATGGTGAAACCCCGTCTCTACTGAAAATACAAAAATTAACCGGGCGTGGTGGTATGCACC